ATTCCTGCTAAAGTATGAAGTTAAAAACCCCATAGGTGGATATACATCCCTATTTAGCTCATATTTGTAGCTACCATTATTTAATTTAAGGGATACCATTTCTCTGAAGTGTAGTAGAAATTTCCACATCCCTGTTTCAATAGATATACAGAATCTGTTACCCTGATTCTTTCCCCCTTGCTTCATTATCTGAAGAGCACATTAGGAGGTGAACAGCCTTTCCTATTACTTCATTACTTTCTCTTTACGGTGTCCAGTGCTGCAGCCTGAGCCCAAGGGCCAGGCAGATAACTGATTTAAATTAGGCACACTTGCCTCTGTCTTAAGCAGCTCCCTGAAGTTGTTGCAATTGTGTGCTTTAATGATCCCTGAGTTTTTCTAACTTTAGAAAGCATGAAGGCAGCTAATATTCTGTGACTTCTGCTTCTGATGCTATTCATTAACTTTGCCATGTATTTGCTATACACTTTTTATATCTAGCTTTCAAGCTCTTTGTGGAAGAAACTGGTTTTGATCTTTATTCATGGAGCTTCTCTCTTGTGAGGAAAGGCTGAGATCTGGGTGTGTTTAGCCTGGAGAAGAGAAGACTGAAAGGAGATCTCACCAACGCTTATAGATACCTAAAGGGTGGTTGTCAAGAGGATGGGGCCAGACTCTTTTCAGTGGTGCTCAGTGACAGGACAAGGGGCAGTGGGCACAAACTGGTGCACAGGAAGTTCCATTTGAAGATGAGGAAAAACCTCTTTACTGTGAGGGTGACAGAGCACTGGAACAGGCTACCCAGAGAGGTTGTGGAGTCTCTTTCTCTGGAGATATTAAAAACCTGCCTGGATGCAGTCCTGTCCAACCTGTTCTAGATTGTACCTACTTTGACAGGGGGGTTGGACTGGACGATCTCCAGAGGTCCCCCCCTTCCAACCCTTACCCTTCTGTGATTCATACAGTGCCAGCCACAGTGGGGTAGGACGTCTAGTGTTACTGCTGTCCTAATAATAGATGATAGCATGTGAAAATAAAAAGACAATCAACCTATCTAGAACTTTTTTTTTTTTTTTAAATCTTAATTGGTGTTTTTTCCCTAATCTGAAGCCAAACAAGCTAATTTGTTTCTTGGTGTCCTGCACCTCAGTCAAGCATGCACAGACTGAGTTTCTTCCTCGTTGCTGCAGCAGCAGCACACTGACCAGCCATACAGTTGCACTTTCCTGGCATGGGCCTCAGTGAAAATGGGAAGAGTGAGGCATTGCCTTCCCTCTCCACTTGCTTGTAGTTTTATTGCATGAGCGAAGTTGTAAGGAGCTACTTGGCATATTCAGGCTCTGCTTGTACCCCACTGCTTGTTGTCTGGACTAAAGTGTATTTATTATGTAAAGAGCGAGTCATGGCTTTAGTAGCCCCCTGCCTCAGCGAGTGGGCTTGTAACCTACTCTTCTGCTTGTGGAGCTTCCTCACTGCCTGAATTTGGGATTAGAGTTGTTTGGAGGCAGAAATACGGAACCACATGATCAGCCTTGCCGTGACTGGTGGGACAGGCACTTTGATGCCTCTCCAGAGCTTGGGATTCTGCTTTGTGATGGGAATAGTGCTGTGAGATTCCCATTTCTAAAAGCTAAAAGGCTCATGTGTTTCTGCAAGCTTGAACATTCTAAAAAAAAAAAAAAAAAAAAATTAAATAATTCAGCCATGAAGTGTACTTACATTAACCCATTGGTTAAATGTTGCTGCTTCTGATAGAGTGGATAACTCCTGATTAGAAACAGAAAGGGAGAGCAATGAGTGTTTAAGCGATAATTAGCCATACCAAAGTACTCTTGCTGTAGCCTGTGGTGTAACCTGCTCTGTCTGGCCTGGTCGATGTGTCATGGAGGAGGAAGTCTTCTGTATGTGTGAAAAGGGATGACATTTGTGTTTTTTCTCTCGTACTGGTACTTTCTACTAATGAGAATGGTAGTTACCAACTCTTTTCAAAATCAGGCCATCTGTTGCTTAGGGATATTAGGTGTGCCTGACCTTGGCGTGTAACGTGTACTGACCTCAGGCTAAGCATTAATTTTTTGGGAATGTAAACCTAAATCTCTTCTTCAATGCAAAATTAATTGAAAAAAGGTATGGGTTTTTTTGCTTGGTATTTGTACAGCATCTTGCATATGATCCTGCAAGTGGAGAGCCTTTATTCTGCCCCAGTACTTCAAACAGAGATAGATGATGGTATGAGCAGGGATGACAGATAGTGCTAAGATCCATGTAAGATTATTGCCAGTGGCTGGGACAGCTGAAACTTTCATTTTTCCTATGCTGTTAAATGCATATTTATTTCACTAATTTACTTGTTTTGGTTTTATTTGCCTGCTGGTCAGTGTGGTTTGTTTTAATATGATAAATTGACCATTTCCACTAAGAGAGGCCTCGAGGCAGAACTTTAGAAAAGCTGTATGATCACCGCTCCCAGCTGGGAGGTGAGTGCTCAGCGCTTCTGTATGTTTGGCCTCTGGGGCTGGTATTTTTCAATTGATCTTAAAAAAAATATGCTTGGATCCCTTAGGCCCCTTTCCAAGCTATGTTTTTAAACACAACAGGTCATTTTTGTATTAGGCAAGGGTCTCCAGTCTCTAGCAGGAACATCCTCTGCAGATAGCACTGGTGGGCATCATATTTTTTCCAACTGTTTATAATGGCTTTGCTATCTCTCTGGTTAACATCTAGTGTGAGAACTGTGCATTAGGTCCTGTGCTCAGAGAAGATGACCATTTTACTTACATCTGCAGCATTTCCATAGCATATTCTACCATCTCCTTCATAGCCCTTTGGGCACACGCACTTCCAGCCACGTGAAGATTCAAACTGACAAGTTGCCTTTGAAACAGAAAGACAGAACTTGTCAAATACTCCGGAGACCACTTGAGCAAGGATGGCTTGTAAACCCTCTTCCTGATATGCATTCATATACAGACGTAACCTTACAAAGGATCTTCATACCATCTTCCATGGATGTCCTCCCTCTTTTGTAGGACAAACTCCACCAGCTGAAGGCACTAACTCCCTCACCTTCCCACCATGTACCAAGTCTAGGAGCACTTGTCAAATACTCCGGAGACCACTTGAGCAAGGATGGCTTGTAAACCCTCTTCCTGATATGCATTCATATACAGACGTAACCTTACAAAGGATCTTCATACCATCTTCCATGGATGTCCTCCCTCTTTTGTAGGACAAACTCCACCAGCTGAAGGCACTAACTCCCTCACCTTCCCACCATGTACCAAGTCTAGGAGCCTAAACTTTTGCTTTCTTACTTCTTCCCTACA